AAACAACAAAAAATAATCAACGTAAACTAATTTTTCGATAACTCGTAATTCTTTTTCCAGAGTTTTTTGGTATTCTTACCGGAGTCCCTTTAATTAGACCGGCTGCTGGAATAGCCCTGGGTCTTTTTGCTGGTCAAATTTATACTGATATCAACGGCTTGGAAGATAGACTAGGAGAGATGGACTTTAAAATTGCGGGAACTGAGAACGGCATTTGTTCTTGCCAATTAGACGTAAAAAATCAAGGAATTAATCACGAAATATTCAAAGAAAGTTTAGTCAAAGGCCGCACGGCTCGGCTTGCTATTTTACAAGAAATGAAAAAATATATCTACCAGCCGCGGCCAAGTTTGCCGGTTCAGGTTATTAAATGTCGGCAATTTTTCGTCCCCCCAGAAAAAATTGGTTGAATTATTGGACCGCACGGCAAAACTATTAACCAACTTACTAATGATACCGGAGCGACTATTGAAATACAAACCGACGGACATGTTCTAGTTTATCATCAAGAAGAAGAGCAACTAAACACTGTATTTAAACTAATTCAGAATATTATCACTCGGGGAAGATGGTAAGAAGTTTTACTATTACTCTGCTAATAATTAATGTCAATCAATCATTCCCTAGTAATAAGGAGTTAGAGATTTAAAATACTAACCATTTAATTTTGACTTTGTAATAAAAGCGGCAAATAATTTTGTATGATGTAACAACAAAACTCTCTAAATTAGCTTGAGATTAATTTTTTTAAGCAAACAGCTAATAAATATTGTGGAGTTCCACTAAATTTTTTAAAAAAAGAAAAGTCAGTGGTGACTTGGAGAACAAAAACGACCAAAGGTCCAATTTGGTTTCCGTATAACAATTTAAGTAAAAAAAGAGTATGGTTAGGAATTTTTTCCCGCATCTTAATGTGCAAACTAATTCTAATCTTTCCTGGTCTTTTCTCAGCCTTCCCCAATTAATAGAATTTTGGGAAAAAGGCTTGGGAGAAAAGAAATTAAATTTTCTGGCTATTGCTGACTATTATCCTTACGCTATCGGTGAATTTCTTCACCGTTGTAAGGAAAAAAAAATTAAGCCAGTATGAGGGGTTAAAATTTTTTTCCTGTGGGAGAAAAAAAAATTTTCCGCCACCATTTACCCGCAAAATTCCAAAGGGGGCAAGGAAATTTTTACTAAATTATTTGCTCCTAATTCTCCCCCCGACCGGGTTTTTGCGGGGGAGAATATTTTAAATTGAGGTCAAACAAATTGGCTTATTGCTTTGGAAGCTCACCAACCCGAAGACATTAATTTTTTTGCCTCATATTTAATCCCCAAAAACCCCCACGTTTTTATTGGTTTTACTTTTTTTCTTCTCAATCCAACCCAGGTTTTCTCGTCCCCAACCATTTCTCGTCTTCTGCCTTTTTTTGCTATCAAAGTATTAAATGAGGAAGATTTGCATTTCTTAAAGCTTTGAAAAAAAACTACTTTTCGGCGATATTTTTTCCCAGCCGACACCCAACCCACCCCCTTTTATTTCTGCGACACCCAAGAATATTTTTCGCATTGCACCAATGACCCCGCCTTCTACCAATTATTATTATTACAATGACAATCTTTCCTAACCAAAATTAGCCTCACCCCCAGTTTTCTCGGTGAAAGGACCCGCAAAGTCAAAAACAGCAACTCGTCTCTCCTGACCCTCCAAAGTAAATGCTGACAAAAACTCCTTTTCCTTAACAAGGAACCCCGGGAAGAATACCAAAAAACTCTGGAAAAAGAATTACGAGTTATCGAAAAATTAGTTTACGTTGATTATTTTTTGTTGTTT